CAAAAAAAAGAAAACCCCTCTAGAAAAAAAAAAAAAAAAAAAAAAAAAACAAAAAAAAAAAAAAAAAAAAAAAGATTATTTTATAGCTTTTTCTCTTTCTTTCTCTCCCTCCCTCTGTCTGTCTGTTTCCCCCACTCCCATTTCTCTCGATGCTCCTGTCCCCACAGCCCAGTTTCCCCCTCCCCTTTCCCTAATAAAACACCCCTTCACTTGAACTCTGTCGAACGGCGTCTATCTATCTCATGCCACCTTTTTAAAATTATAACAACTGCCCTTAGTCATCAAGAGAAGCTTGGAAAAGCCCAACAAAGAGGAAGATGAGCAGTTGTTTTAGGACAGGTTAAATGACACAAAAAAATTAAAAGAAATTAAAAACAATGATTCTATGTGTATGGGTGTCTGTAAATATGTCTATGTACCATGTATGTGCCTGGTACCTGTTAAGGCCAGAAGAGGGTGTAGGATTCCCTGGAACTGGAGTTACTGTTGAGTTGAGAAGGGCAATGTGGGTGCTAGGAATCAAACATGGGTCCTCAGGAAGAGAAGCCAGTGTTCTAACCACCGAGCCATCTCTCACTATAGTAAGCCACCACATTCATGTTTCTAAAATGTAACTATTGTATTTCTGCCTTTCTAAAAAAAATGTCATTAGTTGTCTTCTTTTTCCTGCTTTTTTCAAGATAGGCCACTGTTTATTCTGTGTAGTCCAGCCTCATTTGGAACTTGTGTTATTTCTTTTTCTTTTTTCTTTTCTTTTTGGTTTTTCGAGATAGGGTTTCTCTGTGGCTTTGGAGGCTGTCCTGGAACTAGCTCTTGTAGACCAGGCTGGTCTCGAACTCACAGAGATCCGCCTACCTCTGCCTCCCAAGTGCTGGGATTAAAGGTGTGCGCCACCAACGCCCGGCTGGAACTTGTGTTATTTCTAACTGCATCCTGAGTGCCGATTACAAGTGTATGCCATCAAAGAGTCTTCTGTGTCCTTTCCTGTCTAAAGGGGCAGAGGCAGGTGGATCTCCAGAGTAGCCTGGTCCACATAGCAAGTTCAAGATTAGCCAGTTACACAATGAGATCTTATCTAAACAAACAAACAAACAAACAAAAAGAAAGAAAAAGGCAGGACTAGCCAGGCGTTGGTATTGCACACCTTTAATCCCAGTACTCGGGAAGCAGAGGCAGGCGGATCTCTGCGAGTTCAAAGCCAGCCTGGTTTAGAGAGCAAGTTCCAGGATAGGCGCCAAAGCTACACAGAGAAACCCTGTCTCGAAAAACCAAACAACAACAATAAAACAAAACAAAAAGGAAAAAGGAAAAAGGAAAAAGAAAGGCATGACCTCTTGTAGCCTAGGTTTTGGTGGAACCTGATAAATGACGTTGCACTCCTGATTCTCTTTTTCTGCCTTCTACGTTCTGGGATTACAGGTATACCCCACTTTGTCTGGCAAAATCTTTTCTTTGTGGTACTAGGATTGAATATTTGTACATTCTACACAGTACTCTACCAATGAGCTATAATCCTGGCTACATACTACCTTTTCAATCTTCTATGACGTGTGACACCTGTCTTTTCAAGTGCTTACAGCACTTTCTCACTTCTCTGTTTGCTGTACATTCATTCTCTAGCTGTACCCTAAGCAGACCTGGACCCTGCTATCTTTCTGCCTTCGTCCACTGAGCAGCTGAGATCATAAACAGGCACCTCTAGACTTGTGTAGCCTCTAAAAACTCTTGATCCTCCAAGACCTGGAACTGTAACACAGCTCTGGACATTGTTTTCCCTTCAATGTAAACATTTAACAGAGCTTTTGTTTGTTTGTTTTGAGACAGGGTGTCACTATGTAGCTCTGGCTGTCCTGCAACTCACCATGTAGACCAGGTAGGCCTCAAACTCAGAGATCCACTGTTTCTGCCTCTGGTGGGATTATAAGTATACACCACCATGTCTGGCCTAGCTCTGCAGTTTTTGAATTATTACCTTTCTCTTTCCTAAAACTCATTTAATCTTACAAGTTATTTAACTCTTTATCCAGATGAAGAGAGCTTGGTTTTCATATAAATTAAATTCATTTGGCCATGAAATAATTTCTAAGGCGTTTGAGAACCTAATTAGTGGAGTACATGGCTCATAGCCTCATTTTCTTAATGTTATCCATAATCTCTTTCTGAGAGCTAACTTGAAAACAAAGCAGTTGTTGGTTCTTGTGCTTCCTTTTGTTAAGGCATGTATTTACTTTCTTGGGGGAAAGGACTGAAAGTGTTTGTGGTGTCTCCAAGCTCACGGACTGACTCTGCCCCAAGATAGCTGCAAATGTGGCCCAACACAAAACTGTAAATCTACTATTTTAAGTATTATCCCCTACCTCTGATACAGGGTTTCTGTGTAGCCATGGCTGTCCTGGAACTCTCTCTGTAGACCAGGCTGGCCTCAAACTCACAGAGATCTGCCTGTCTCTGCCTCCTGAGTGTTGGGATTAAAGGTGTGCACCACTATGAAACAGCCTATTTTAAGTATCTTCATCGCTTCTTTTTAGTGTACAGATGGCAAGGTCATGTTACAATGTCAAAAGGTTCAACATGCCTGTAAATTATTCCCATTGCCCAGTTTTCTGACTCCCTTTTCACTTACCATGAAGAAGGCACCCCGGTGATAATACTTTTGTAAAAACTTGTATTTCCCCTTAACGGCTTTGTTGGTAATGACTTTGCCATTCGCCCGAAGTTCAGCTCGCCTTTCCTCCTCAGTCAGGTTTCGCATGCGTTCAATCTCTGCTTTCTCCTTTTCAAGCCTATTCAGAGAGCAAAAGTATTAGTATTTTCCAAATTCAAAAAGCCCAAATTTCTGAAGATAATGGTCTCATCTTCTTCAGCCATTATTCACCTTTTCACATTTCATTCATTCACTCATCCACAGCAGGTCTGCTTTATAGCTTGCCCGGAACTCTCAACTTCCGACCTCCTCTCCCAACTGCTAGTATTATATAGATAGGCTCATGCTGCTACACCTGACTACATCTTTAGTTCTGTTAACTGCTTGTCAGAAGTCAAGCTCGGGAGTCCAGTGAACAAAAACATGAGTTGGTCTTCATTATTGTGTTTACCAGAACAGGGCTATAAACATTCCAAAGTTGAATCTAGCCTTTCTGAGATTCAGACATATAATGTTTGATTTTACAACACTAATTCTGTCTTCCCTCAAATACTTTAGCTTTCAAAACAAAATTAAAATGAATAAAAAAATGGATAAGAGAGCTTATAATCTTTCATAAGCATAATGTAATCCATATATTACCTGCCACAAATTAAGGATTACCAATATTAAGTACAGTGGATTTAAACCTTATTTGGGGAGAAAGGGAGGTTATATTCTCTGTCTCAGACAAATATATGTATATATATATATATAATTTTAACATTAAAGTCTAATGCAAAGATTGGGGATGTGACTCAGTGGTATGGTGCTCACACAGTGTGCATGAAGCCTAATTCCTATCTCTAGCACTATAGAAACTGGGCATGAGGCCACATGCTTGTAACTAGCACTCAGAAGGCAAAGTCAGAGGAGCAGAAGCTGAAGGTCACCATTGGCTACATAGAACACTGTCTTAAAAACAAGAAAAATGTCCAAGAATAACTCAACTCCAGCTATAGGGAAGTGATGCCCACCCCCTGCTCTGGATTCCACAGGCACCTACACTCACACAGATACATATCCACACACATATACACATAATTTAAAAAATTTCAGGCTGGAGAGAAGGCTCAGCAGTTAAGAGCACCGACTGCTTTTCCAGAGGTCCTGAGTTCAATCCCCAGCAACCATGGTAGATCACAACCATCTGTGATGGGATCTGATACCTTCTTCTGGCGTGCATTAAGAGCATTCATGACTGGGCGTTGGTGGCGCACGCCTTTAATCCCAGCACTCAGGAGGCAGAAGCAGGCGGATCTTTGTGAGTTCGAGGCCAGCCTGGTCTCCAGAGAGAGAGTGCCAGGATAGGCCCCAAAGCTACACAGAGAAACCCTGTCTTGAAAAACCAAAAAAAAAAA